CGTAACTGTTGTGTTACTTCCATTAGTCTTTCATTCCATTTGATTTCTTCAAGCTATTTTTTTCTTCATAAAACTATGGATCAAATTGAAGAAAAAAAATCAAAAAGAAAAAGAAACATAAAATATTAAAAAAAAAATCAACAAAACACAATCGAACTTACAGATGTTCACTCGACCATTTGACTTGAACAAGGTTCACTATGACATTGGAGAGCTTCATCCCGACAAAGAAATTGAAGACACTATATTAACAATATTGAAGATTAATTGTCCTAAGTTTTTTTAATCTTGTTTTTGTTCTTATTCAACATGTGTTTAAATAATTTTCCTTGTTTTGATCTTTTATGGTAATTGCTTTTCTGAAATAACAAAAGTACGTGATATGATAAGAAGACTACAAAATAATCATAACAATCATAATATTATAAATAAACCATTCGACAGCAGAAAAAAAAAACAGAAAAAAACATTACAACAATCCAAGTGTGTTCATCACATTTTGAACTAACATTGCATCACAACTGAGTCGGGTAGGAAGAAGACCATCTCTTTCCAGTGTAGATTTCTTCATGTGAGGGATTTTGTACTTGTTTAATCCTCCAATTTTCATGATCTCACACATACACGATTGAAGAGTTAAAAATATATGGTTTCCCTGCTCTGCCGGGTACTTCTTGAAACATTCTTCTACTGCACCAACAAGATCTTCTATGGTTTTTGGACATTCCCTATGTTGCAAGGATTGAATGGCACTGAAAAACCCAAGATCTAAAATATTTAGATCCGGGGAGTTTGCCGGTTGACACATCAAACGAATGTCAAAATCACTTTTTGATGCCGCTTCCTGGAAATCTTCATCTCCACACTCAACATGCGTCCGTGCGTTATCTTGTTGAATAAAGATAGTCTTTCCTCTATCTTCCGCTGGTCACTTTTCTTGACTATTCGGAAGAACCTTTTCAATAAAAAATGCTTTAATATCCGCTCTCTTGACCGACGTTGACGCTTTTTGTTCTAACGTCCCAGCATCTCTGTTCTTGCTCTTTCTTTTAGCTGGCTGCAGAGTAACAAATGGGAAAATTCCAATTTTCCCATCAAATACCTCATTTCCCTCTTCATCAAATCTTGGACGAGCCATTGCCGCTAGAAACATCACCTTTCCAATGTAATTTTTACTTTGACACGTACAGTGCGGCTCTTCTTCAATTGGAAGTAGATAATATTTCTTGGTCTTCTTCGTCATATAGAACAATTTCTCATCGATATGAACTATGTTGTACATATCAATAAACTTGGGCTCATGAGGTAGATTATTTTTATACAACATAGAAATGCAAAATTGTAATCTACTTGTTATATTGGCTTCCTTCAAATAAGGCTTGATGCTGTTGGTATGACGTCAAATTAGCCCGTCCTTCTTTCGTCTAAATAATGTTGTAAGGCTCACACCCATAGCCATAGACATTGATCTCAAAGTTGTCCGCTTGCTTAATGGAACAGCAGTAACTTGACTTGGCTCGATTGTGATTCTTTTGCGACCACAGTTCCCCGTTCTCCGATGAGATACATTGACTCTTCCACTGTTGACCGTTGCTTTTGCTTGTCTCCAAATTCTTTGTACTGTTGCAATAGAAACCGAGAACTGATGAGAAACTTCTCTTGTTACATTTTTTGTCAACTTTCCAGCAATACTCTTCTCAAGTAAAGCACCGAAGATCTCGTGCCTTTCTTCGTTTGACAAAAATTTCCTGGTTTTTGGTAATCTTGGTTGACTTTGAACAACATTATATCCTGTTAAATAATGATTTTAAGAAAAAATAAGAAAAGTGAAACAACATATACATATTTTAAAACAAAGGAAATAAGATTACGCTAACAATTTTTGACCAGAGCATCGCAAAGACCAATGAATTTCTTAGAGTAAGGTTACGTTTCAGAAAAATAATGCTCTCTTAGAAAATATCTAACCGATTAAATATTCAAGAAGATAATGGTGACAACACACAAACCATAACACACAGTTCTTTATAAGAATATAATAAGTAAACACCAATGAGTAACAGAAAAATACCTGGATTAATTGGTATATCTTCGTGGCCATTGTTAACGCTTTCTTCTTCTTCTGATGGAATTTTGTTTAAATCAAACAAAATACAACTCTCATAATCTTGAACTGAAACATTTAAATCAAAATCAAAAGCCATAGAAAAGAATGAGTGACCATTCTCTGTTCAAAGCTTAAATAAGCATATTACAAACTGTTCAAAATTTTCATTTTGGCTCCATCATAAAATTTTGATTTTTTGGTTTAAATTAGTTTTACAAAAAAATTTGGCTCCAAAATGTTGTAAACATTTCTTAAAAACTTGAACGTGAGAGGTTGTTAGTATTACTTCAATTTTTTTTATTAATTTTGTTACAAACAGTAATCTCTCTCTACTTAAATGTTGCAGACAAAATGATTGTGTGCAATAAACTAAAAAACGTTTTCCATAACTGCTTTAGAAAGTGTTACAATTTCTTAATTCCCACTCTTTTAACCAAAACTACTTACATATTGAAACGGAGGGAGTATTATTTTAAATTAATTAGTGTGAATAGATTTCTTTTCTAAAACTAAAATCCGTTCGTGTTGGAGTTGAGGGGTGCTTAAGTAATTCATTGACCAAGTACGTCGTTATTATTCGGCACACTTTTCTAGATTCGAGGGAGAGATAAAGAGATAGCAAAAAAAAAGAGAGAGAGGAAGTGGAAAAGATCTCTCCTTTACGAGAATGGTTGACGTCGCGGACAAGTTGGGTTACTTCCAAGCGATTACAGGTCTCGAAGATCCCGATTTATGCACTGAGATCCTCCAAGCTCATGGCTGGGACCTCGAACTCGCTATCTCCTCCTTCACATACCCACGCGATGACCCTTCGTCGTCTCCCCTCGATCACAATCGCGAACCCTTTACCGAATTCGAAAATGACCCAATCATTAACGAATCAGACCTTAACAACGGGAGACCTCCTGGAGTCGCTTGGAAGATCATCACTTTACCGATTTCGATTGTCTCCGGTAGCTTAGGGTTAGCTTCTACCGCGATCGGGTTCGGATTCTGGGTTGCCGGTGGAGCTTTGACGTATTCGCTTGGTGTGTTAGGGTTTAGATCAGGTCGTGGTGGGTCTGAGGCTGAGTCGTCGTCATCATCATCGGTTTCTTCGGCGGCAGGTGAAGCGATGGAGTTCATTGCTTCGTTCGATAGAGACTATGGTAGGAACCCTTTAAAGCCTGGTTTTGTAGCGGAAGGTTTCATGGATGCACTTCAGCGGTCTAGGAGCGAGTTTAAGCTCATGTTTGTTTACTTGCACTCTCCTGACCATCCTGATACGCCTGCGTTTTGCGATAGAACGCTTTGCAACGAAGGGGTTGTTGCGTTTCTGAATGAGAATTTTGTGACTTGGGGAGGTAGTATACGATCTAGTGAAGGGTTTAAGATGAGTAATAGCTTGAAGGCTTCCAGGTTTCCCTTTTGCGCTGTCGTTATGCCTGCTGCTAATCAGAGAATCGCTCTTCTTCAGCAGGTAAAATAACGTTTCTGTCGTTGATTGCTCTATATCTTAAAGAATGTAATAGATGATGCAAATTAGCAATCAATTATTTATAATTGGCTTTAAATATGGTAACAATACTATTAATTCTCTGTTGTGATTAGAGAACTGCTTTTAATCGATCTTGTTGAAGTGATTAGTAGTAAAATGGGTAGAGATAGTTGTTATTAGTTGTGAGTTTAGTAGTATATAAGGTGTGGCAAGAGATGTACTTCTTGGTTTTAATGTGTTCTTTGTTCCGTTTGCTTGTGGCAGGTGGAAGGACCAACAACTCCAGAAGAAATGATTGCTATACTGCAAAGAGTTGTAGAAGATAGTTCACCTGTGCTTGTAACTGCAAGGTTTGAGGCAGAGGAAAGACGAAACAATTTGCGCCTGAGAGAGGAACAAGATGCTGCTTACAGGGCTGCTCTTGAAGCCGACCAAGTTTGTTTCCCAAGCTCGGATATTACAAAATTGATTATAATTACTCTTTTGTCTAAATTTGTGGTTTCTTTCTTCTGCGTTTACTAGGCAAGGGAGCGACAGAGACAAGAAGAGCAAGAGCGGATAGAGAGGGAAGCTGCTGAGGCAGAGAGGAAACGCAAAGAAGAGGAAGAAGCTCAGGAGAAGGCAGGGCGTGAAGCTGCAGAGAGAGAAGCTGCTAGAGTGAGGATGAGACAAGAGAAAGCCCTTGCTCTTGGAGACGAACCTGAGAAAGGCCCTGACGCCACACAAGTAAGTTCTCCTTCTTTCTTTACCATTTATTACTTATACTTTACTCATTAAAGGTCACACACTATCTACTTCGCTTAAAAACTTCATGAGGGATGTGCCTCTTTAAAGATTACGTTCTATGGTTTATCTAGGTTTTGGTACGGTTCCCAAATGGAGAAAGAAATGGGAGGAGGTTTGAAAGCAACACCAAGATACAGACATTGTACGACTATGTTGATTCACTTGGAGTGCTGGAAACAGAAGAGTATAGCTTGATAACAAACTTCCCTAGAACAGTGTACGGAAGAGACAAAGAGTCAATGTCACTGAAAGATGCTGGTTTGCATCCTCAGGCTAGTCTCTTCATTGAGATCAACTAAAAGATTCGTATGTCTCTTTCTTCTTTAGCCTCTCTTTTAAAATAATTAGTTTGCTGCTTCATTGATCCGATGGACAATATCACTTATATACACCCATACATTCAGAAGCTATGTTTATATTGATATATATATTTTCGAAAATACTACTGCATGTCGAACGTGTTAATATGATTAATGGCAACATCCTCGAAGAGAAAGTGAAGTGTTTTAGCATTCACAACTTCTCTCTGATTATTTAGAATAGACAGTAATGAAAGAGAATTAATACTGAATAAGCAGAATGCTTTGTCCATGAAGATACCGTTCGTTATGTTTTTCAGTTTCTCAAAGTTCAACTTCGAGTAGGAGTCTTTCCCTTCTTATCCTTCGTCTCCCTCGCAAAAGCCTTCATCGGAGGCTTCTCCACATCGCCTGAGATGTCAAGATGAACGCCAGGATCATGAGTCTCGTACTTGGCCCCCATCATTAGCGAATTGTTCACAGCTTGAAAGTTGCTGTTAACGAAGGTAGTAAGGAAATCAAGCTCATGTTTGTTGTCTCCATGATTATTGTCGAGTTCTGTCTTCATGGTGGCCCCTATGTTGGATCCCGAGAGCGTGATGACTCTGACGCCTTCATCCTCCTCCTCTCTTTCTTCATATTGGCTCGGTCCTCCCTTCTCCTCTCCCATGTGGGTTAAAGACGAGATCAGGTCTTTTAGTTCGTGCTGAAAATGTTGTGTCCTGTGCTTCTCTTCTTTGCCGCTTGACTCGCGTAGCTTCATTATTTTTATTAGGTAACTGATACCAATAGAAGGGAAGGGAAGCAAGATACATATATAGTTTACATTTTATGGGAATAAAAGATGAGGGCATTGCCTTGTGTTGCAATCTAAGAATTAGAATAACTTTCCATTGAGTTCTGGAATATCTTTGGGCATTTGACAGAAAAGATGTATATGAGACAAGAGAAAGCACAAATTCTCTTGGAGATGAACTTGATAAGAGTTCTCATGTCACACAAGTGAGTTCTTAATGTTACAACTTACAAGAACAACAATCGATTTCACCTTATTGGTATTCTAAAACTTATGACATGTTTGAAACTTGCATTTTGACCTCCTATGAGAACATCTCCGAAGCAAGACATACACATCTACAGTAAAACATGTCAGTGTCAACAAATTTTGTTCTGCAGATGTTATCATTTTTTGCACTTTATGCTGAGTTCAAAATCAGATTCTCATTGAGTAGAAAGCTCCGAAGCAAGACAGACACATCTACAGTAAAACATGTCAGTGTCAACAAATTTTGTTCTCCAGATGTTATCATTTTTTGCACTTTATGCTGAGTTCAAAATCAGATTCTCATTGAGTAGAAAGTTTTGATTGTATTGAGCATTTTCAAAGAATGTACCAAAACACTTGACATAGGTTTACAGTTAAAGATATACCAGACCATATATCAAAGGAAATCTTTTATATACTAAATCACAAGTCACTTAACAAATCAAATTATCACATATGTAATATACCAAAATTATCTATTGAAAAAATATAACCCTAATCTATACTATTATTTGCGAAGTGATTTTTCGCAATTGAGCTCTCACGTTAAAAGTTAGAGTGGATAATAATTAAACATAAAATAAAAACGAAATTGATATTTATTTGATTAGATAAATGATTTAAATTAATATTAATGATAAGAATTATCCATAATCTAAATATATATTTAAAAAGAAAAAGATAATTCCTAAATATATTGTGTTGTTATCCGAAAAATATATTTTAATAAAAAAATCAAAAACAGAAAACATATAAATATATATTCATAAATTAACTTTTTAATTGTATATAATTGAAAAGAGAAAATTGAAAAATTTATAATACGTAATTATTTTCAAATTAAGAGAATATAATAATATATTATAATGATATATATTTTTGAAGTAATTTTTCACCTCTGAACTCACACGTTAAATTAAATTTATTTTTATATTTTATATAGTATAACATTAAAAATTAATTAATCATAATAAAATGAAAGAGTATTCAAAAAGAAAAAAATGTTGTTGACAAAATAAATTCAAATATATTGTATTATTATCCAAACGAATATTATTCTTTCAATTTTTAAATATATATTTATTGATTCAATTTATCAAATTGAAAGATGGGTTTTTATATTTTTTATTAATTAAGAAGAAATGAAATAGACTTTAGATTTCTTTTCAAAGTTTTAAAGGAAAAAATAGATTTTCTTTTAATTTGTGAATAATTTTATCATGTAAAAACGTTTAATGTTTTACGTCGGATTTTTTGGATGAAAATAATCATTTATTTTGATGATTTTGTAAATTGTCTTAAAAATACTTAAGCCGCATGTGCGGGCAAAACACCTAGTTTCAAGTAATTCTACCCTAAACTTTTTCCCAAAAGATCTCATCCCACGTTCAAGGAGCTCCTATATAATTTTAGTTTATTAATGAACTCTCTATTTTTTTCTCACTATCTTCTCATTACCAAATATCAATGCTTATCAACAAACTCGATGCAGTTCCAAACAATTGAGATCTATAGCTCAAATGGTCTTGTGGTTGATTCAGGTTTAGTTCTCAAAATAAATAAAAAGATGCTGCTCGAAAAAAGCAACAACAAAGGTAAGTTATCTAAATTTCTAATTCTTTTATCTGTAAATTGGCTATTGAAAAATGTGTTGTTGTGGCTTATCATTACGAAATTGCTATTACGAAATTGCTATTAGTTTTTAAGGAACATCCATAGTTCTACATATATTGGGAACACAATCTGTTTGACATAAGTAACACCCTATTTCAGCCCAAAAACTAAAATGAACAAATTTACATGCCACATGTGACAACCATCCATTCTGATATCACGTTTAAAATCTTTAATTTTTGTAGCTATTTTAGCTAGGGTTAGAATTTATCACATGTCGAAATCTATTTGCCATAACCGGTTTTTATTCATGGTCAACTTTAAGATTGTCGAATCAAGAGTTTTAAGTAGAAAAAGTATTTTTTTTATGTAACAAGTAGAAAAAGTTTTAAAATCTTATATGTTAAAGAAGTTAGGAAGAGAAAAGGGAAACAAAATTAAAAGGTATTTTTTTGTGTAACAAGTAGAAAAAGTTTTAAAATCTTAAATGTTAAAGAAGATAGGAAGAGAAAGGGGAAACAAAAACAATGTTAGCCAGAGGATTTTTTTCATAAAATTAGAGACTCATGATTCATCTTTAGGTGTAAGAAAGGTGGTGAATATTTTCTAGAGCATTTACACTTCATACACACAAAACATCTTATTTAACTTCATACCATATTTATCTCTTCTCTTTCCTTTCTTCCATCACTACTTTTTCCCCCTAAAATATGGAAAATCCCTAAATACCTTCTTCTTTTGGTATATTGAGCTAAATCAATCTATTTTCTAACAAAATGCAACTTTTGTATGAATGCAGCTATCTCTTAGTCATGTTTTTATAACATATGATTAAAATAAATTATCGAAAATTATTTTACAATTTCTTGATCAAATCATTTAAGAAAATATATGTAACCGTGCGTGTAGCACGGGATAACACTAGTAATCAAGGGTTTATTTGCCTACTAGCCATATATAGAGAAGAAATTAGGTAATGTCATTGATTTTGACATAATGTATTTTTAAACATTTATACCATAAATTTGTCGGTTTTATCCCTTTTCTTGACAAGTACCAGGTAAATATATGACAAACAATAATATCACTGATATAATATAAAGTCGAGAGCATCTAAAAATTATTTCAAATGAAAGAAGGAGACAATATACACGTATATATTTATTAACCATATACATATGACCGGATGTTCTATTCCATATCATCAAAATAGTATAGAATTATAATCTCACCTAAAATACTAAACATACCCAATCCCTAGATATTAAACATTATCTCAATCCCACCCCAACCCTAAATCCTATTCAGTAAACCTTAAACTCAAATATAAACTATACACCTAAATAAAAACTCTAAACCCAAACAAAATGGAATAAAATAAATAACAGTATATATTGGTAAAAATTATGAAATATCTATGGTTGCATGAAAAATGTTAATGTAGACCCTAATAATACTTCCTCACTTTCTAAATACTAAACCCTAAACATTAATCACTAAACCCTAACCCAAATATAAACCCTAAAACTAAATAATCTAAAATTACATAATATTATGTAATATTTACTAGATCATAGTACGATTTTTACTAGTGGCTATGTAATGAATTATACTCTTCCAAATGAAAGAAGGAGGAACTATCCACATATATATTTATTGACCACATACATATGTACCAGATGTTCTATTCCATATCACCAAAATAGTATAGAATTATAACCTCACATATAATCCATAAATACTAAACATACACAACCCCTAGATATTAAACATTATCTCAATCCCACCACCCTTTAAATACTAAATCCTAAATCCTAATGAGTAAACCTTAAACCCAAATATAAACCATAAACCTAAATAGAAACTCTAAGTCCAAATATAATGGAATAAAATAAATAATATAGTATATATTGGTAAAATTATGAAATATTTATGGTTGCATGGGAAATGTTAATGTAGAACCTAAAAATACCTACTCACCTTCTAAATACTAAACTCTAAATATTAATCACTAAACCCTAACCCAAATATAAACTCTAAAACTAAATAATCTAAAATTACATAATATTATGTAATACTAACAAGATCATAGTACGACTTTTACTAGTGGCTTAATGAATTATATTCTTCCAAATGAAAGAAGGAGAAAACAACCACGTATATATTTATTGACCACCTACATATATATATGATGTTCTATTCCATATCACCAAAGTAGTATAGAATTATAACCTCACCTACAACCCATAAATACTAAACATATCCAACCTTTAGATATTAAACATTATCTCAAGTTCACCCCAACCCCTAAATACTAAACCCTGAATCCTAATCAGTGAACCTTAAACCTAAATATAAATCAAACTTAAACATAAACTCTAAATCCACATAGAATAGAATAAAATAAATAACATAAAACTTATACATATGTGTGGATATCAAGGATGTGATTAACGTAGGGACACAAGTACCTTTACCACAGTATTTATTATTATTTTTTGTTTTCTTTGTTTCCAAGTTTTCCCGGTTATTTATAAGGGCAATATGGATATTTTGTATAAAAGAGACGTGGTGTATGGTGAGTTAGGTTAATTGGTTATCTGGTGAATTATATTTTGTTTTGTGCCATACAGTCCAATTTCCCAGTAATCAATAATTTAAGAGTTTGCTTAAAAAAAGTTGTTCAAAAAAAAAAATCAATAACTAAAGTAGACCAAACAAGAAACCAGATATGTGTCGCCGTGTCGGTTAAATTCATTTGCAGCATCAAAAAGGAGTTACTAAGAATACATGGGAGAAACAGTATTTTACTTTAAGCCAATGTTAAAAAAAAACAGTAGTTAATTTATTGATTACAATTCCAACAAGTTAAAGAGAAAAGCTTTGAAGAATCACCGGAATGTAGACTGTTGTTCAAAAAAATCCATCAATTTTTTGTAATTTTTTTTTTAAGTCCTTTATATTATTTTACAGTTTACAAATTAGAAAATTAACATTAATACAAAATCAACATAAATGGCTATTGTAAAACCAAAAAGATATAATATGAAAAGAGATTATTTGCTCACATATCCTTTTAGGACCTTTAATTAGAGAAATATACATGATGTGACTGAATTAATTATAATGACCTTATTGTCCTTCTGTCTCTCTCCTCA